AGGTTGGAAAAGACCTTTAAGATCATCAAGCCAAACCATTCCCCCAGCACTGCCACCACCACCACTGAACCATGTCACCAAGGGCCTCAAAAGAAAACAATAGATTTTGGTAAATACTAAGCAAAGCTATGTATAAACTACTGGTTTAAGAGCCAAAGGTGCTTATTTCAGAGCCAGCATGCACAATCACATGCTATTTTCTAGCATCTCCATCCACCAGCCTAGCTTAACCTTCATGCTTCTTTTAGAGGAAATGTCATTCCCACAGTGTTGGGACCTTTCCCCACAGATAAATCCATGTAAGGTACTAGTGCCTGCACAGGGTAATCTCACAGCTGTTCCAGGGCTGCATCAATGCTCTTTTAGATAAGTAATAAGTTCACTTATGCTTAAAAGTGGGGGTTAAGTGGGCCTTGAAAAATGATGTCTGTAACATATTATCAGAGCAAATTTAACATAACAAAAATTTAAAAAAACAACACCCCCCCGCCTATCTATTGCAGATTCCAAGCAAAGAAGGAATCCAGACAGATTTGTATCACTGCTTCCTTGCTATATAAATAGCTGCAATAGACATGCTAAAAATAAACCAGATAAATATTTAAGGCCCAGAGCTATTTAACTTCTTGTCATGCTTACCTACTGCTTACTGCTGTGTAAATCAGGAATAATATCAGTGAGATCAATGAATTTACACCAGAATCCTCTGCTGAAGTTGGAGGGAGGGATTGTGTTTCCAGCAATTGCAAACGCATCCTCCTATGAACACTTTACCATCAGCAGAGCTTTCCTTACTCCTGACGCTCTGATAGCAATGGGAAAGCGAGCACAAGGTTAAGTGCAAAGAAAGCTGTGTGACTCAGAAGCCACACAAGAAGGAAAAAGTTGCTTTATTCAGAGGGGTTTATCTAAATCACTCAGATTGAGCCCATCTCAGACATGCCTGACCCCCCAAAAAACAACAGGGAAATGTGTGTGATGGCACCAAGATTTTCAAAAGCAGCTAGAATAAGCATCTTTCACTTAGATAAATATTCAAAGGCTTCAGAAAAAGCAGCATAATGAAAAAATATGGTTCTTTTGCCTAATCAATAAGACAGGTAACCTTTAAAAAAAATAACCCTTCTTATTATCTTGTAAGGTTATCCTGAACGAGGACTCTGAGGTATCTACTACCTGAAGCAGTTTAGGAGAAGTAAATATTCCTGGTAGAGCAGTATCTACCTCAGTATCTACATATGTCAACTAAAACTGATTACCATGAAACTACTTTAAAAATAAGTAGCTGCACTTTTCTTCGGTTGATCATTTTTCTCCCCCCAAAATAACTCAGTATTTTGCCAGTGAAATACTTCAGACTAATGCACTCCTGAAAAAACAGTTGGAGATGAAGAAAATAATCTCAAATGGCTCTTCTAATTTTAACTCTAAGAGACCATTTTACATCAAATAAAGAGACAACATAATGAACGTGATAATAAATTGCATTATTTGCAAAGGCACTTATGGAACATGAATTATTTGTGCTACTGGAATAAACATTCAACAGAATCCACCAAAACATGTGGAACAGTTTAAAGGGAAATACAGTAGCTCTCCATCCTCAATAACCAAGGAAAAAAGAAAATCAACCCCAAACAACAAAATACCCCAAACCAAACTGTGTTCAAGCATGTTTTGGAATTGTGTTGTTCTGATTACATGGGGAAAATAAAGACACAAAGGCTGCCTGTTTTGCTACATTTCTCTTGCTTTTCCAGGAAACCAAATATTAAGTACCTGGCTTACAAACCTCCTCCAGCAGTTGATCCCACTTCCTTTGACGTTCCCCTCCTACAAATGACACAATCCAACACCCACACGCCAGCTCTAAGAAAGCAGGAATGCTATGGCTTCAACAAACCCCCATCCACTCAGGGCTGGCCAAAGAAAGATAAAGCACCCTGCAACTGTGCAAACAAATTATACCCATTGCTGATGTAAGGAGGCAGAAGGGAGAGCAAAGGCGGGGGAAGGAATAATATCAGAGGCAGCATCCTTAGTCATCTGGAATATGTGTTGAGGTTTTTAAAAGCACACCTGGAAATGAAAAGCCTCTATTAGCTCTAGCTAGAAAGTAAACAGCAGGCTGCAACTGGGTAACGAGCATCACCTCGAAGAGTAGGAACTGGAACCCCCAGTGCCTTGTCCCCAGCTTGGACTTGAAGATAACTGCAGGGAACAGAGTCTGTCTCCAACAGCATTAGGGCCTAAGGTAGATAAGGCTTTGAGGAGCACAGAGAACAACCCCATTGGTGCCCTGCACAACTGTAACCCGTATTTATGGCTGCATAAGCCAAATAAATCATCATCAGGGAGTGGCCTGATTCTCTGTGGGAGAAAAAGGATTCAGCAGTAGAAAGAGGATTTGGTATTACATCTAAGGTTGCAGACAGCTTTTAGGCAGCTACACAAAGGCATTGCAAGTATATTAAGGAGTGCTTTACAGGCCAAAAATACAACATGTGGCAAAACCCAGAGCTCCAAAAGCCTGAGGAAAGCACACACTGCAGACATGGCTCTGCACTGCTCACCTGCCTCCTTCCCAATTACTGAAGTTGCAACTTGTCAAAAGCATGGAGCTTAGAGCCCTGCATGCTGCTTCTCAGGAATGCTACCCATTCCCAATAGTACCAGCACTGCTGCCTGCCACAGCTATTGTTGTCCCTTGAGCTCTCCCAGCCAAAACCTAATCTCACTCAGCAATCCCATCTTACAAGACCTGAGAAGGGCAGAGCTGCACCTGTAAGGAACCTCCCCATCTCAAACTATGTGAGCAAACAGTTAAAAATACCACCTTTAAGATCAGAACCCAAGCTCTGCCCTAAGCAATTCCACCATTTAGGAAGACAAACAAACAAGCAAGGAAAATGTCACATAAGTACTCAGAGCCACTCTGACAGGAGGGCTGTAGCGAGAGCACTGAGTCTCTTTTATGAGGCACTTCTTGCTGGGGTAGAACGCTGCCTAATAGCTGCTGTATTCTGCTTGAGCAAGTGAGTGCTTTCTCCTTGGAAATCAAGCAAAGGTTCCAAATCGTTTGTGACAGAGTGTGGTCCCCTAAAGCTACATTTTCCATCTGATTCACGCTGACTGCCTGTAACCCTACGACAGTTATTGAAAGTTAATTAGGACTGAAGTGCAAAGAGCTCTAGGAATGAAAATACAAGCCAGAACTGAATGTGGATGGTCCCCTTTCCCAGAGAAAATGCTGTCAAGAAGGTGAATGTAACCGAAAGAATATTGTAAATGTGAAGGAGATTCTGCTAATAACTTGGCTACGATTGTCCCTTGCTGTTTAGATATGGAACTGAGAGATAACATATTTCTAAGGGAAGCAGGTAAGCACAAAATCCAGCATTTCTTTCTTCACTGCCTTTGCTAGAGCAAGCACCCGAAAAGTTATATAAAGGCAACACCCAAATTACATAAAGACAAATAAAGATATAAATCAATCACTGCTTCCTTTGGCGACTGCAGTTTGTCAGATGTTGCACACGCTATCAAATCCCAACTATTTTTGCCCTTATCCTCCACTTCCTCAGTACTTGCAAGGAATAATCCACAGTTAGATGTGAGCCCAGCCAGCACGGAGAGGGTGTAGGAGGTGAGGCAAGGAGAGCGCAGCCCCGCAGCACCCACTCCCTGCTGAGGCGAATGCCAAGACACGGTGCAAGGCAGTGTGCAGCCCCTCCAGGTGTTAAAAAACCCCATCCTGGCACCCCTGGGAGTTGGATCCAGCCCTAAACAATAAAAAATAAACCCAAAAGCAACCTTCACGCAGCGAAAGTGTGTTGAGAACACGGAAGGGAAGACACTAGCAAAGCAAGTAGGTTGGGAAGGTCAAACGTTGTGCTCAGGATAAAAATATATGGTGATGCCAGAATGCCTTGGCAAAACTGTGTTTACTGATTTTCATGGAACAGGAACAGGCCTTTCCACCCCTGAGTGCTGACTGTGACTCACATGCCACCTAAAATGAGTGCAGTGAGTAAGCAGGCACTACTGAACAGTGCTGGACCTAGCTCACTTACTCTCAGCACCGGTGGGAACGGCATGTCCTATTCTAGGCTCTTCCTTTGGCTGCCTAGGAAACACAGGAAAGTGGTGGATGTCCACCTCATCACAGCACCTAGTAACATCTCATCCAGGGAATTCCTATGTGTGGAAGGGTCACAAGGGGTTCACTTGAGCCTTTGGTTTTGGACCAATTGCATACCCTGACTGGTAAGGGCAGTCAACACTTTGGGTCTGCCAGGCAAACATGGGACCATAATTATAGAATGGTTTGGGCTGGAAGGGAGCTTAAACCCAGCTCCAACCCCTGCCACGGGCAGGGACCCCTTCCACTGGAGCAGGTTGCTCCAAGCCCCTGTGTCCAACCTGGCCTTGAGCACTGCCAGGGATGGGGCAGCCACAGCTTCTCTGGGCACCCTGTGCCAGCGCCTCAGCACCCTCACAGGGAAGAGCTTCTGCCTAAGAGCTCAGCTCAGTCTCCTCTGTTGTAACCCATTACCCCTTGCTCTGTCACTACAGTCCCTAATGAAGTCCCTCCCCAGCATCCCTATAGGCCCCCTTCAGATACTGGAAGGCTGCTATGAGGTCTCCATGCAGCCTTCTCTTCTCCAGCTGAACAGCCTCAACCTTCGAGGGAAACGCTTTTCCCTCACTGTTATGTCCATGTGTTTTAGTCCCCCCCAAACGCACCCTCTGAACCCCGCAAAGCTCTAGAGCACAACTCAGAGACATGCAGCAGGGTAAGACCCGCCAGAAGAGGTGCCTCCCGCCGCCGAGGGGCTGCCTGCCTCTGCCTCCTGCTAGGCCGCTCCTCACAGCAGGATTACACCGAGCCGCGCTCAGCCCCTACCCGGCCCACTCACCCCGAGCCGCCCCGCGGGGCCAGGCGGGCAGCGCAGGGCCGCACCGCCCCTCTCCGTGCCGGGGCCCGCCCTCGCCTCGACAGGCAGGGCCGAGGCGGGAGCCGGCGGCCGCCACATGAGCCCGGCGGGGCGGCGCCCCCGGGCCCGGCTGGGGCTGCTCGGGCAGCTCCTGCCTCTCTTCCTGGCGCTGCCCGGGGGCACCGGGGAGGCGCCAGCAGCAGGTACGGGCCTGCCCCTCTCGCCCCGAGGGGACTGCGCGGAGCGGGCGGTGCCGCGGTGTGGTGCTGGGGGGGGGGTCCCGTTCCCCTGCTCGGGTGGTCGCAGGCTGCGGGGGTTCCTCACCCCATTCCCGTCGGGACACGTTGTTCTCCCCTGGCTTCCCTCGGTTTCCATGGCCGCCAGTACAGCGCGACCTGCTGCCGCCCAAAATGGCGCTGACCTGCGGGAAGGCCGGGGTCGCTGTGCTGCCCGAGGTTGTGTCCGGGGCCAGGCGCGGCCCGGAGGTGTTTTGGTGTGTACTGCTTGTGCCATGTCAGCTCGGTCTCCACAAGAGCACAGTGCGTGGTACCCTGAGGGACAGGGGGACACGGGCGCTGGGGCTGGCCCGTGAACACGGTAACAAAGCGGCCGCAGATGCTCGCCGGACAAGTGCCTCCCATGCGGTTGCGGCAGGGGCTGGTGCCGCTGGCACTGTTCTGCGTTACCCTGCTGGCTTGCTCGTTAGCTTGGCTCAGGACACTGGGATGCGGAACCGAGCTTTTATTGATGAGGGCAGCTAAAGCCCTGCAGGTTATTCTCCGCTGTAGCGGTGATACATAACTGGAGAGATGTTCCTTCCGGGTTCTGCAGCAGATGCTGATTCTTTCCAGTGCTCATCATCTCAAAACTTGAGAGCTGCCCTCTCTGTGTGTCCTCATAGTAGTTAAAATTCTCTTCCAACTTATGGTTACCTGTTCAGAAGCATCTTTCCTTTTGGAATGCGGTTATTTCACTCCATGGAGCTGATGTGTTTGAAGGAAATTATTTTCCTCTAGAGAAACAGCTTAAAATGAAGGGGGGAGTAAGAAAATACTTGCTAGAGTTGTATATGGAGGACACTACTTGATCCCAACGAACCCTACAGGGAAGGTGTGGGCACTCTGGGCTGCATTCTGGCCCTGCAGGGTTATTGGATTTCCCATCACTGGGCTATGTTGGTCTCAGCCCTGGGTAGTGCCCAGCCTCACCTCCGTGCTGTGTCAGTCAGCAGCACTGCAGGGAAGAATGGAACCCGTTGCACTTCATCTGATGACTCTTACGGAAGTGCCTGTCAAGAGGTACATCCAGTCCCTGCCTGGCTCAGCCCTTCCCGCTGCGTTTGCCGTGGGTGGAAATTAACCACAGGGTTAATTTTTCCCGATAAAATTACCCAAATTTCAAACCAATTTACTTCAGCAGGATCATCTGTGGACACTTTAATTCTGGAATGACATAAACTTACATAAGAATATCCACACTGGTATTTTTTATTGGCTTAATTAAATCGGTTAAAAAAGAATTTAGCCAAAGTTCAGCTTCCTTGGGCAGACAGGGCAGGTTTTTACCTGCAAACAGTATCTCGTTGTTGAGATTGGGACTGCTTTGCCCGTACTCATTTTGCTGTTCTGAGTTTATGACAGTGCTTTAGCAGTTACTACTGAGCTTGACTTAGACCTACATTTTCTGCTTGGCGAGCCAGATGATTCCCTCTGTTCAGATCTGTAATTATTTCCTTTATTCTCGTCTTTAATTATGCTCCTGGAACACTGCAGCAATGCACTGTAGGGTATAGTTTACACACATCTATAGTTTGGAACGTATGTTACTCTTCAGAGTTTGCTTGGTAAACCTTTTAGGTGCATTTCTGCTTAACAGTGCAATCTGATTTTGAGGACTGTAGGGTGCTCACTAACATTACAGGGGAGTTACAGCAATTGGCATCCCTAATAAAATGACTTAACCTCTAACACAAACTATACGTGCAGCTCCCTTACAGCATGTCATGGCTGGACTATGTCAGGAAGACTTGCTTTACAGAGAAGAGTTGTGTTATTATACATGAGGAACATTTTTGAGGGAGAGGAGTCTGCTTTCTGTGATCAGCAGGCGTGTCATGTGCTAAATGACTATTTAATACGTAAGCTGTTTACCTGCTCAGACTCCCACAGTGGTGTTCACCATTGGTGTAAGCACCGACTCCAGTGGAGTTACACCCACTCGTGCCAGCAGTGAGTTTGGCTTAGAAGCACCATTCCAGTGCCATGAAAACACTGATACCAAAGCCAGACTGCCATGGACTACATTTGTTTAAAAATACCACCTTTTACAAAGGTGTTGCAGTTTACTCTGGAGCCCAAATGACTTGATGAGAAGTCTAATTTGAATTTTCATCTAGATCATGCCCAACATGCTACCCTGCGGCACAGCTTTTGCTTCTGATTATCTGCAAATGCTTATGATTCCCTCAGCATGTGCAGTAATGAAATGGAGGAAAATTATTCATTTGTATTTGATACATGCTTAAAATTAACTTTTCTGTCCTCCCCCCAGGTAGCAACTGTAGTTTCTTGCAGGAAATGGATGTCATCCAGAAACGGGATGAAAGCTGCTACTGCTATGTGCAGAACAGAACCATTCACTTACAGTATGTTTGGTCAACTCTTCGGGTAAGAGGCTGTTTTGGGGATTATTCTGATATGCAGTACTTTTCTCATAAACACGTGTGAGCAAAGTTTATGATCAAAGCAATATCTCTCTGCAACTGGTAGTTTGAACAGTGTATAGGTAGGACCATGATAAAAATGCAGCACTGCAATCATCCTCTTCGGATGCAGTGAGGTTTGGCTTTTTATTAGAAAGATGATAACCAGGCTTATAGTATGATGCCACACAAACATAAATGTAGAGTTGTGTGTTATTTTGTTGCACACCTTTTCTCCTGATGGACCACTCAACCTCTGCAACAAATGTTTTTGCTTATCACCAAACGCCTTCATAAAGCTTTTAAATCTGAGGATAAAATGCAGTTCTGACTCACTCAGTGTAGCATACCAGGCCCCAGTGTAGAAACCAAAGGTGTATTAGATTGTGGCTAATGAAAAGACAGCAGTAGCAGTGCATGTCTCTCTTCCTGAGTAATAAAGGGTCATCTAATAACAGACGTGTTCAGAGATTCATGCAAAACAATATAAAAACCTCCTAACAGTGGAAGAGGTAACAGCTAAAGGAACAAGCTGACTATCTGTACGGTTCTTTTTCCTGGCAATCATGTCTCTGGACAAAGGAAGGAAACTGTTTCACTTCATCTCTGTTGGAAGAATTTGCTCTCAGATATAAGGAAGTGGAATGTCTCTTTGTCTGTTGTTCCCAGGACTGCTTTCCTCAGGAACATGGTGCAGATATTTTTATGAACGGCAGCAAACTTCAGGTGGTAAAATCCTATGGCAGTCACACACTTTCCTGGAGGAGATGTTTAAAAGCAGGAAGTTCAGATCTTTCCCACAACAAATAGGCTGTTGATGTGTTGTTGCTTCTCCCAGTAGAAGCCTGGTTTATTACCTGTTGCATCACTCTTTATAGATGGGTCTTCGTTGTCTAACAGGCTCTGATTGAGAGCTCACAATGAATCACAATCTTCAAGCAAATCACCCATTTCAGAAGATGGACAAGATCTTTTACCAGTTTCATGGGAGGATGTGTGCTAGGGACAATCCTGAAATATCCAACAGTAATGTGTTTATATTTAAATTTCTGGTTACAGCTTTCATTTTCCTTATCCCTCTTCTGTCCCTAACATGAAAATTGCATTATTAATTACAAGAAAAGCAAGTCCAGATTCTTACAGTTCAGGCAGGGAACAGGGAAGTCTATGAACATCTACAGAAGAAACTGTTGTCAGTCAAAGATTACTGGTTTTGTTAGAAATGTGTGTGTGGGCAAGTGTCATGGTAAATCTAAACCCACCAAGTTTTTTGAGGGATTGAGGTCCCTCCATTGAACTTTGCTGACACTGAGTTCTCCGAATCACCTTCTAAGGCCTACACAGCAGATTTTTACATAGTATTAATAACCAATATGAAACAACTAAGACTTGAATTCAAACTCTCTGTACAGATTTTCATTATATGCTGTATAGTTCAGAAGAACATCCCCCACCCCCCAGTGCTTCTGAGCTACTTCTCTGTGTATTCTGTGGTTTCTTTGTAGGTAAAAGTTAACAGCAGAGAAATGTTCAGGTTTGAGCCCATTTCACAGAACAGCAACTGTCGTAATTCAGAAACTGTTTTTGAGTTCGCTGCATGTGCTGTTCAAGTCTTCTGGAAACCAGAGACAGCTACAGAAACCAGAGTAAGCATAAAACAATATGGAGAGGATATTTGCTTCAAAATACAGCCCCTGAAAACCGAACCATACATTGTCAGTGTGAAACGAGAAAGTAAGTAAAAAACCTTTCCATTTGCATTACAGATAGCTTCGTATTGCCACTGTTTCTGAATGTACCATCTCTTCTGTAAGAAGCTTGGAACTTTTCTGTTGATATTTTATAATCAGCGTTTCAAACTGAATTAGTCTAAAGTCCTATTTTTTTTTTCCACCTTTTTTTTTAGTGCTAGATGGAAAGCTCTTGTTTTTGTTTATTGCTGGAATTTTTCTGTTCCATTTTGCAACCAGCCTGAGCCGGTGAGTACTAGCTGCTGGGGTTTGACCTTCTTTCCCAAAGCCTGTGCATCTTAGGTCTGTTTTCTAAGCTAAAGAGGGGGTTCTTTGGGAAAGTGAAATAAGGAAACAACATGTATTTACAACTCCTCCATACCATTTGTATGTGGAGTACTGCACTCTGTTAATCACTTAGCTGTGTTAGAGTTCTTCTATCCAAGCTTCCTTCAGTGGGCAACACCAAGTCAATCCTCAGTGAGCAGTTGTGGGAATTCAGACAAAATCTCTCTCCCTGTTGTAGACCAGTGAGGTTCAGCAGATGCTAAATGCTGCTGCATGTATTATCAGTGATGCTTTCTTGCAGAAATAAATGTTTAGGATGAGGTCACCCTGGGGCCTTGTATGCCTCCACCTCTGTACCAACCTTTCCCCATCATTCTTTCAATGCACATTTTGGACAGCATGTAAGGGAGGAGAGTTAATTATTATAGCAAAATAGTGGCCCAGGACTTCAAAGCAAAATGAGTCACATATTAGTTGTCAGGAGGCACCTCTAAAACAAGCAGAGCAGCAGTAGATTTTATAGAGTTAACTGAATTAAAAAATTAGATTTTATAAATCAGTAAGTTTAGGAAAAAAATGACTTGTGGGTTTGTGGAGATTTTTTTTACATTTTAAATTAAAAACAAAACCAACCAAAACAGCAACAAAACACCCACTTTTCTTGCAGTACAGAGCCATATTGATACACAGAAGAAAATGAGTTTACTGGAAATTAGAGGGCCAAGGCAGTCAGGAGTAGTGTGAGCATTAAAGAAAACAAATCACAATCTGCTAGCCTGGAACACCTCCAGTGACCTCAAGTCTCTGTTGGGACTTTTTCCTTACATCAATTTAATATGTGAACTGGGCCTGTCAACCATGTAACTACAACTCTTAACTTACAGCTGTGCTCAGTTCTTACTGAAGATCACTTCTGCTGTTATTTTAGAAACACTGGCATCATAACCAATTACAAATTACACTTCTCACTGTATTCTTTCTTGTTCTTTTACAGGAATACCAAGTTCTTTTACCTCTGTGGAATAATACTGGGTGTTCTTGCTCTGCTAGTCTTTGTCCTGTTGATACTTAAAAGGTTTATTCCAAGGGTAAATCTACATTTCTAAAACAGTAATAAGCATCATAATATAGACATGAAGAGTACAGAGCCAGATTCTGACTGTGCTCTGTCCTTATGGCTCTGTTTTAATGACTATAGGATTGCTTGTGTCAATAAATACAATTAGGTCAGAATCAAGTTCTAGTTAGCTTGCTCCTGAGTTTAAACAGAGCAGGAGGTTTTTGATGTACAAGAATAATTTATTCTGAAACATAAATTATTTTTACTATACTGGGGCTAAGTTTACTTTTAAATCTCTGAATCAGTCTAAATCAAAATGTGGTGTTAGTGGCAACAAGGACAGATTCTCTTCCATTCAACAGAGAGAATTCATTGAAAGGGTGATGTGAATTTTTCCTTCTGCAAAGCCCATGCATTCCCACAATATTGCGATGTCAACTGGGAATACACTGCAACAGGCTTATACCGTGACACTAGAGCACTGCACCATAGAAGTCTAATAAGTCATCTGGTTTTGTCTGCAAGTTCCCTTGCATAAAATAGTTGTGGGTTTTATTTGAAATTTTTTTTTTTTTTAATTTTTAAAAATATATTTTATTTTTGGTCGGTAAAAATATATAAAAATATATTTTTAAAGGTTTTTTTAAATATTTTTTAATTGTGGGTGGTTTTAATTTCCAGCACAGCACCTTCTGGATCTTAATGAGTGGCTGCTGGATGTCCTCTCTGTATTTTATTTACTGCTTCAAAGAGAATATGCAGTGGTTGTGGTCTGAACACAGAAACTACTTGTTGGGTAAGAAAATTATCAAGAAATGCGCTGCAGATTTTAGTTTAATTTAGTGATCAGATGAATACCTGCCCCAAAAAAACAAAATCAAGTGAGACTTATTATAGTGTACTTTTTCCTCCTAAGCCATAGATGTTGTAATATTCCAAGGGTTCCTAATCCATTCAAATAAATCCATTCAAAACTCATTAAATAAGAGTTGGATATAGTGGCCAGTAGCAGCATTAAGAGCAGATTTTGCCTGTATTATTTGTCCAGTGATCTGCCATTACATACTCTCCCTGTAACAGAAAAGGGTGGCTGTGCTGGCTCGGATTTTGCTGGGATTTGGGAACTGCATGTGGCTGCAAGGGCTGACCAATGTATTGATCTGCCATCTGCCCCAACATTCTAGCATGGGGAGAATTCATGTGCAGCTCAGAGCATTAGCTAAAGGTTGTTCATAGATCACCTCCTTGCACACTTTTGAAATAAAAAGCCCACACAACAGAAAGCAGGTACCTGTAAGACAACACAAGAAACAGCAGACTGTACTTCACAGCAGTTGTAAGCTTTGTGAAGCAATCTAATGACATTTATATGACTAGTTTACATCTTTTTCCCAATATCCACCTCTTCTGTTTCTACAGGGTATTTTCTGGCTGTTGGAATGACCAGCTTTGCTGCTTGCTATCAGCACGGACCTCCTACCACTGATCTGAGCATATCCTTGTTTGCATGGACGCTGCAGTTAACAGCCTTTGTCTTGATTTACTGTGGAGTCACCATACCTCAAGTTGCATATGCAGTAATAGTAGTCAGCCTCTGTTCAAAGGGCCTGTGTTACCCCCTGGGTGCTGCGTGTCACATAGGCAGGTACGTATGTATCTGTGAATGTCCAAGGCCCTGCACTGCCAGGAAATGCAGAGGCTGATAATGAAAAAAAAACATATGCTTCAGTAATGATTTATGAGTTTCTAACAAATTCATATTGCTATCAAATGTACAGCTGCAATAGGAAAGGTTCAAAGCCCAAGACACAGGAATTTAATTATTTTCCATTTGGCAGGTTTAAACATGAGTTTTGTTCTATGAATAATGGAGAAATGTAACTATTCTTAAGTACAAACATAGCACCTTCTAGTCTGCTGCATATTATAACCAAAACATTTCTGTGTGGTTATTTCATCAGACTGAAGCAATACTGCCTTGCTTTCATGTTTAGGGAGAGAGTCTGCAGGTAACTACTGAATCTTATGGGATAAAACAGCGTACTGTCACCAGGGAAGCAGATGTTAACAAGTGACAGTCCTTGTAGGTTAGATAGGAGTTCAGAGACTAAAAACCTATATCCACAAAAATAATATTTTCCAGTGATCACAGTTCAAAGCAGCTGATATACCTAGAGCCTTGCATTTTTGTTAAGATCAGTAGATCCCACTAAGCCAACAAGACTTTTTACCATTTGATCTGAAGAAGAGTTACAGTTCATTCCTGCTTTACAGGGAATAAGGAGGAAAGCTGAATGCTGCTGGTTGGAGCAGGTGTTTTATACAGAGCTGAAAGTTTTATGGGCATCCAGCCCTTGCTTATCTTAACTCATCACAACATTTAAATTGAAGGCAGTCGACAGAAGGGAACAGAACATGGCACACTTTCTAATTGATATCTAATTATGTTATACAGCACTATGCAGCAGCTAAAAAAACATCAGACTGTAAACATTTTGGCCTCACAGTACTCAGCTTTGTAATTTAAAGCAAGATTTAAGAGAAGTGATCTAGCAAACATCATGAACAGCTCAGAGCACTGCTCGTCTTCAAAGTTACATATGCAGACTGGGTTTTGGTTCAGCCCGTGCCTCTGCACAGACACATTTTGCATATTGCACCTATAAGTGGTTGAGCAAGCAGCCATCTATCTAATTCTACGAGATTTTAGTCCATGCGTACACAGTAAGGACTCTTCCAAAGCTTATCTGAAGTTCATTAAATGCCATTCTGTGGAATTCTGCACTGTCAGTTAAGACCTGAGGTAAATATGCTAGCAAATATTAGACACCTTGTCCTAAAATTTTAACGCAAAAATGTAGCTTGTCCTCTTAAAAGGATAAAAGTGATGAACTGCATGCTAATAGCAGGTAGTAGAGAAAAAGGACCGACAACAGTCACATGCCATAATACCTTAGAAATACTGATCGTTTTCATTTCATTCCAGAAAAATGAAGAACCACTTTATATCAAAAAAGTTAGTGTTTAAACACCTTACTGAAGAGGAATACCGAGAACAAGGTGAAACAGAAACTATCAGAGCTCTGGAGGAGCTACGCTTATTCTGCAGAAATCGTGATTTCCCATCATGGTTAGCTGTATCCAAACTCCAGTCCCCACACAGGTAATAAAATCTGGCTTCTCTAAAATAGGAAACACCTTGTACAGACACTTACAGAGCAGACCCAAATGTCACTTCAGGTGCTGTTCCAGATGTGTTTATCTTGCACGTAGTCAGATGTGCACATGGGTAGCTTTATCTAGCTGAGTAATCTCACCAAAGATTACTGGGATCCCACAGCCAGACCTCTCAAGGATACTGGTGGTGGTGTTAAGCCCCCTCTTTTCTCCTCCCTGACCATGAATTACTCTGAGTTAATTCACAGTAACCACAAAAGGAAAACCTACTAATGCTTCTCTGAGTTCCCACGCAGGGACCCAGGTGGCTGGCTAACCAGCAAAATGCCCCTTTCTTCAGTTTTCAAAGCAGTACACATTTGCATTGTGTAAAACTGGGGCAGGCTAAAGATACATGTTCAAATTTTACTTGTGTTAAGCTCTCCCAACTGCAAGCCTACACAGCCAAAGAATCCTATTGCTTCAAGTATCAACCAATAGCTAGGACTAAGAATACAGAGAAAGAAATCAGTGCCAGCACCTAGGAAGTGTAATAAGTAGAACTACTCCAGATTAGCTTAAGAGACCAACTTAAGACAAATATGGGATGGGAAGGATTAGATAAGCGCAGCCAGAAAACCTTGCAGAATGCAAAATTAATCATAATAGCAGTGTATTTCTGTCCAGACTAAGGCTTCAGGATTTCAGAAACAGAGTTTCACATAGTAGTCAGCCACAAACACTTGGCCCTTGCTACATAACCAAGTGTCACAGTTTCAACCTAGTTACAGAAGCTTCATCTTCCTTGGATGGGCACACAGGCAGCCTCTCTGCCAGGTTTTATAGATTTAAACCATCTTATTTTCTAAGCTAGTTGCATTCTGTAGCATGATTCAAAGATACAAAAAGTGAAAACTCACTGCAGTACTGTAAAACAAAACAGTGCCAAATGCACAAAACAAACAATGGAGACACATGTATTTGCTAGCCATCTCAAAAACCATTCCTATAAAAATACAAAAATAAAAAGCAGAACCAACAGAAGCCTGATTTAAAGTTGAGTACCCCTTCAGGCTTCCATTAAACATCAGAAGATAGTTCAACACAAGGCAAACCTGTAAAACAGCCTGGCCAACAGCCAGTTCCCAATTTAGACTAACAGTGCTTCCAAGAAGAGTGAGGTGACAGCATTCATGTTACAGAAATGTTAAGTCAAAAATGTAAATTATTGATCAGTTTACCAGAACTCCAGAATGTAGCTGCATTTCCTTTTTCTTATATTTCTCTGATGCTGTCGACACTTGCCAGGTGTCAGAACTGCCGTCTGTTTCCACATGCCTGCCAGAAACCTCCAGCTCCATTCTAGCTCTCCAGTGTGGTTGTCCACTGAAAGTAAGATTTGTGGCAATCTGAAATGTAGGGACAGGGCTTAGCTTAAACACAAACCTCCAGTTTGGTGTTTAGACTTTAGCTCAGCTTGCCCAGAGTGTGTGTGCAGCACCAGAAGTGAGGTGACATTGCAGCAGTGTAAGAATATGATGTTCTCACCATTTTTCCTTTCATTAGCAATGTCAACACCTGAATTCTTACAGCCTTTCCATCAGATATGCTACAGCTTTGATTTATTTTTAGAAGCTGAAGTGCCATCTATCCAACTGTACAAATGCTTACTCTGGATTACGCCATGAGCACTGACAAGATGTGAAAATGAAGTTAGATCTTCTTGCTTAGTCACAAGACCCTGCAGATGGCCTCTAGAACAGCAAAAGTTACTTATATAGAAAAGGCTGAAAAAATGAGGTGGGAAAACAAATCTTCAGGGTTGTTGCCATCTGTTGTGATTTACTCTCTGTTGTTCAGGACTCCCTCCCTCATGCTGCAACTTCCCCTCATCAGCGCTGCCTGCAGGCAGGTCCTCACAACATCCCTGCTTAATTGTTAGTAGCCCCTGCATTTACAGGGTTTTTATATTTCTCAGTTGATCACTTCTCCCTTTAAAAATCTGGCAGGTTTGCAGACTTCGTTCTGGGATCTCCCCACATCTCACCTGCAGAAACAAGGGTGCATGAGGAGGAATATGGCATTGGGAGCTTCTTCCTGGAAGAGCAGCTCTTTGAGACAGGGACAGAATCTGAGCAAGATGATCCAACCAATTCCATCCACGAAGGAGATGATGCGGATGAAGATGAAATGCATAAGCAGATTTCATTTCCATATGCTACTGAGTTGCTCTGAGCTTTGGGAAATATCAGGATGGAAAATGTGTTCACCCTAGACAGAAAGGATACACAGCGAGAACTCAAGCTTGGTGATTTCTTTTGGTTGCTGGTGGGCACAGGGATTTTCTGAAAACACAGTTTCCTCTATCACTGATGTTGCATGATCAGAGCAACAGAAGTAAATCATAGGGACTGTTCAAGTGAAAAGGATCCTCATGCTACTGGTACTTTAACTGGGGAAGTAAGCATTGCTTATTTCCAAAGCGAGTACTGGCAGCAGCCTGTCCCAGCAGGATGCCTTGTTGTGCCAAGGCTACTACCTCTAGAAAATTGTATCTGTTTTGGTCCTTTTCACTGTCAAGTCCTCTGTGCTGAACACTACAGGGAGAAGCCATTATTAATACTCTTAAGTACCCTATGGCGTCAACAATTATCATAATGCTGTTAATGTGCTGATAAACTGTGTTTATTGCTTGTGAGGATTTTCAGTGCTAAAGATGAAGTTAATACAGCTGAATGAGGTTTGTTTGCTCTTCTGGCTGGGCTTACTGCACATTAGCTTCATTTTGCCTCTCCACATTTGTTTTAAACTCCCCTAACTCTTCAGAACCCTGCCTGACTTTTCACCCTCTGCTTGTGTTGTTCTGTTCTTGGACTCTGCTCTACTTACATTGTACTTTCCATGTCTTTGCTTCTTTTTCACGTTAACACTCCTCTGTCTTCAGCAGGTCCCTCTGCAGAACCTTTCTTTACTCCTCTGTTTCTCCATCTGACAACTGCAGGTGACTTAGAAGAGGATTTCCATCCCCAGATGTATTTTTACTGTTGCCTTACCTCGGACGGGTGCTGACGTCCATTCCAGACCAATCAGTGGCACAGAAAAGACAACAAAGGCTGAGGCTGTTTTCAGCTGCCCGAAAGAACTGCTGTCAGCACAGCTGGAGCGATGCTGTAACCGTGTAACTAGGAATACAGATAACCCACATAGAGCTCCACTGTCCTGGGAATACACAGCCGTTTACTCATTCAGTAAAAAGCAGAAAGTAATTTCTGGCAAAACAAGGAGGGAGGGATACCTGGCTTCTACCTCCTCTTCTTCAGCCTTCAGTTTGGGACTTAACACAGGAGGTGTGTGGGGAGGAAAAGTAAAGAACAGGCAGAAAAATTCAGACTGTCAAGTATCTGTCAACTTACGTATTACACAATCCCAGGCCAGGGAGTAGGTCATGTCCCTTCAGTTCACCCACCTGCAGAAGTCATTTCCTTCTTTTGTTCTTTAAACTATCTCTGTATTCTTCTGTCCTCACCTTTTTTTTTTACTTTACTGTCTTCCAAACTGCAGAAAACAAAAGACCATTGATGTGTCACCATCTGATCTTCCAAACCCAAAAGGAGTTGCCAAGTGGTGGGAAAGGAGTCAGCTCTCCAGCCAGGATGTATTTGCTTTAAAAGGGACCTCTTTTCTTTGTAACATGCCTCATGATGCAGCATGACTTCAGCGGTGCATGCACAACCATGGTTTCTCATTGTCCACTGCTGGGCAAGGGAGAAAATCCGTTACCTCTAACAGTGCTGAGAGGTGCTGCTGTACCACGTTCCAGGAGCTTCTCTGTCTAAAACAGGAGTCAGAGTAGGTGCTTGGAAGAGTTTTGTGTCTCTTCCTACTTTATAATGATTAAAGTTCATTTTAAAAGGAAGAGACACTTAGCAGCCTTTTGTGCCATAAATTTATAAATACAGATGTAGAATCTATAGCATGTTTAGCAGAGAGAAGCCCTCTCTAGCAGGTGATCCAAAATACACTTCCTGTCAAGTCCACACCATTCAAAACAGGAAAAGAGTCCTGATGAGCAAGGCCACTAGCAGTAAGGTTCACTTCTGAGAACCAAATTCATAGCTAATACCACCACGCTCTGGAAGTAAGACTTGGCTTTGGGGGGTTCTGTCACTAGCAGGAGGCTGGAAGTGTTAGCTGTTGTGAAAACGGAGGAAAGCCTCATTAGCTTTGATGGTTTAGGAGAGCAATGGAAACTCGCCCCAATGATCTTTGTAGACTAAAGATGTATTTTACCTTTGCCTGTGTTGCCACCATGAACATGAAGTACTTAAAATTATTACAGATTAGTCAAAGAAGGCTACTGGAAGAGATGCCTAGTGGGTTTTGCATGTTGTAAAGTACACAGGTTTATTTCAGTGCACTTTGTAGCGAGCTAAGAACTCCCATCCACGTGATCTGAGGCCAGGGGGAAGAATCAGATTTGCCCTGCCTCAAACCCAGAGTTTTTCTGGATTTCCACTGTACTAAGGTAACAATGATTATCCCCCCATAAGCACATAACATGTATTATATGACCAGACAATACTTCAAGATAGTATTTTACCTAAGCAATATGTTAAACATGAAAGCCCCCCAAACCAGGCAGTTACATTTTTCACACTCTGTTCCTTTCACTGAATTATTTAGGGCAATACCAACTACATCAACACAGAAAAAAACCACCAACAAAAAACCCTCAAACCAGCCAAGCAAACCTCAGCCCATGTTCTCTGTGGCTGTGAGGTCCATCATTGGCCAGGGATGTGTAAATATTATTCAAAGCAGAGCACGAAACAATGAAGTACATATAAGGTAGGTGCAGCAACATGAGAAAGACAATGAGTAGTTTAGTGGATGGCTTATACTGACGTTAACAATGCTCCCAAGGCTGTTGGAACATTGGAAGCACTTCCTAAACAAAACCCAACAAAACAAAGTGCTGTTATTTGAGCCCTTTGCCAACAGTGAGTTTCCTTGCACAGCCCTCCTGTGATATATGGAGATACTACATAGGTTTACTGAAACACAACTGTTAAGTACTGTCCAGTGTTCAGCCACAAAATCTGGGAACAGAACCTCAGTGTTGATCTATTGCCTTAACTGTTATAAAAGCCTTTCTTCTTTAAGAAAGGATGAGTCACATGTATCTTGTTTCATGGTGTTTTAAAAAAAGTTACAATTTTGTATTTATTTTGTGTGCATGGTACAGCACACTTGATGTCCTGTCTGTACTTTCAAGGTTTTTTTAAATTATTTTTCAACTTTATCCTTCTCCTCCCTGATGCGTTTACTGTCTTCAGAGCAGCATGACATAATGACAAGGAGGAGCCAAGCAAATTGGGTGTGTTTATGTCCTGAGGTTTTCTCCTTTGTTGCAGATTTGTTGCAGTAGCTGTGGCTGCTCCAAAATAGTGTCCCCTCTACCTCAGATGCATCTCCCTGAAGGAGAGATGCATTCTCCCATCCTGGCACATCCAAACCACCAACAAAGTCAAATTCATAAGGTGACGTGGTCCATCACATATACGCTATACATGTGCAAACAAGGAAGCGAAGATCTTTCCTTGTCAGCACTTTTGTACTTGTGCAAGTTGAGCAGTTGAAAGTAAAAATTTAACTGTCCTACACCCAAGGTAAGAATAAATTCCACACAAATGTGCCCTTGTTAGGGTAGATGCAAATTATATCATTAATCAGAAAGACAAACTGGAAGTATCTCCATGCAAGCTGACATGACCTGCGCTCAGAGCAGCCTCTATCTCAAAACTGCCAGGTAACAAACAGAATCCAATTCTGACTTTCTCACCATGTGGAGATTGTACTTGATGATCTTAAAGGTCATTTCCAACCTCATTGATTCTATGATTCTGTGCCCTGCACACTTAATATCAACCTGTTCACGAAGCACATCACGGTGCATCCCTTACATTCCCCTCACCCCACAGAAGGGAATTTGTGCCTACAGTCAGATTTTTATCATGAAACACATTTTAACACTGTGGAAGAGCAGGTCCCAGGCTCTAGGTCCATCACGCTCGGGGCACTGAACCTAGGAAAAAAGGTCATTATAAGTGAATTCTTCCCAATTCTGGTGATTATGTTCACTGCTGGCACCACAACATGAGCAAATGTAAAGAAGGTTCAGATCAATACTACTGACTAGATTATGGATATTTTATATTTCTTACCACAGTTTTTACAGTTTCACAAATATAAAAACCCAGGTGTACATGTCCATTTTGCAACATAGAATGACTATACGATTCCAAAAAGAGCAGGCATTTCAAATACACGATTCTGAAGTGTAAACACAGTGTACAAGCTCTTCACCTTACAACCCGGTGCTATGCAGTAGCAGCTGAGGTAATACCGTACAGCATGAAGTCAACAAATGGTTGGTTTGCCTCAAAATGGTTTTCAGCATCCTTCTGTCACCTGTTCAGTCTTTAGCTCTCCTCCGAGTTATACATACAATAAATACATTTCTGATTTTAAAGGACACTTGGACAAGTCATGAGGATTTACGTGAGTACAGTACATTTAAATTCAAGTGCAAAAAAAGTAACTAGTGGTTAGTCATCAATGTTTCTTTTTATTGTCTATGGTGTTGGTCCCAGGCACCACCAGAATATGGGTTATTCCAAAAGCACAGCTAAAGCACAGCTACGGGACGCCCCTTCAGTAAAAGCAGGTAAAACTACACACCTCCTTTGCTGCTTAGCTGCTGCCATCTTCCTCTCCCCTAACCCTCTGATCCTGTTGGTCTGCCTCAGGACCACTGCACAGTCCCACAGCACACATCTTCCCCACAGAAGGTCTGACACATCACAGACAACTGGTCTCAAGGAGGGCTGACCAATACTCACTCGGTCCCCTAAAAGCCCAGTGCTCAGGATCTCCCAGGAACAAGCTGTTAATACAAGCAAATGGGCCAAACCACTGTCCTGACCAAACCCCCAGGCTCCTCCCTGAGCCCAAGGATTCCCTTCCAGCAGCAATTTTCACTATGCACTACGTGAGCCTGCTGCAGTTAATATTGAAAAGCATAATAAAACGTAATCCAAAGTCATCCAGTGTCTTCACATTGGGCAAAGTCATTTCCTAAACATACTGCAATTTAATTACGTTTGCTTCCTCCTGAGAATCTCTCACTCTACTTGATTTCTGCATCAACAACTTTGCCCCATAATCCTAATTGTTAAGATTTGCGGGTAATTCCTCCTTATCCCCCACCTTCCCTAGGCACTTAAAGCTTACTCTTTTCTTAATAAATAACCACAGTAACTACACTGCATTAAATAAACCATTGTATAGGTGATGAAATAAAAAACCCAAGAAGAAAGCGTGTACATCGAAACCCTTGATCAATCTCAGGTTGTGCAATCTTGACCAAAGATTTTTGTCTTGATACAACATCAAACAAAAAATTACCCAAACACACACAGCCAATGCCCAACTGAAGGGCTGCAAGCGCAGAGGTTAACTTCTTCAGAGCCTTTCTCCAGCTCTTCTGTTTCGCTAAAAACCCAGTTCAAAAATCTTTGCTTTGCAGAACTAAACCTGTATCTCAAACAAGATAACATTAGATTCAAAAACATTCTTTGAATATGTATGTGTGTGTTTTACTAAATCCACTACCGTAACAGGAAGATACACTTCCTAAAAGCTATTGTTTCTGAGAAATCTTTACAGAGACGGTTTCATGCTGTTCCTATATTTATTGGGTATTTTTTAATAGACTATGCAAGGAAACTCAAGTTTCTCTCCTAAAAAGTTTTCTCTCATTTTAACTTGGGAACAAATTCAATGAAGAAAATTATCCAATTAAGTCAGACACTCTGTGCCTCAAAAAGTGAGGAGTGAACTCCCTTTTTTTACACAGCACTTGACTCAGCTTTAGCAAAGCAGCCAAGAATTCTTCCTACCGTTAGATCCGGCCACATCACTTCCCTCAAGAATTCCGAACTTTGGCTTCCCTGCCGTGTTGCTCTGTGTAGTCATATGAATATTCTTTATATAATTAAAAGCTTGCACTGCGTCACATTATGATCATTAAGACGAAAGAAGTCCTACTTTTGAGCTCCTACTCCAGCATTTCCCAGGTGAGAAGCAGAATTCCATGCACTGTATTTGATAAGGTGAGCGCATCTCAGGGCCCTGCAGCAGCAGGCTGAGCATCATGATCTGACACAATGCGGTCGCCATCTACTTGGGAATCTGATGTTGCTGTAGGTGTTGGTGCTGAACAATTGCTGGACTGCCCAGAATCTGTTGGATTTTGGGGTTGTCTTGCTGAGCTGGCTGATGAAGCACTGCAATTCTCATTGATTTTCTACAGAGAGGGGAAAGGATTGCATGCAAAAAGTAAGTATAAACACTCATAACACTATCCCCAGTGGTACACCCCAGATGCATTCAGGCTCTTCTGGAAATTTACAAAGCACTTACTTTCAATGCCAGCAACAGAACAAATCAAACTTAAAGCAGCAAAGCAAAAGCAGTACATTTAAATCCAGATGACACTAATAGCAAGCAGACAGTAGCTTACCTTCCATCTCTTTTCCTAACTGCACTTTCCCAAGAAGCATGCAAAAAACAAACTTGTT